GCTTTTTAGATTTATTTTCACGTGACACGGTTTTTCTGGGTGAACCTAACAAAGTTCAGTCAGGTCATCTGGACGGTTTCTTTATTGTTGAGAGGAAGTCCTTTGGATGAACGTCTCAACAACAAAAGACAATGTTCAGATGATCTGACTGAACTGTTTTGGATTTTTTCCCTGGATTATTAAGCATGAACTTTGATCTTTCTGGGTGAAGATTGCATGTTCTCTCCATGATGGGTGGTTTTTCTCCAAGTAGGCTTCTCCAGTTTCCTCCCACAGATCAAAAAACATGCAAGATAGGCTGACTGATAACTCTAAATTGTCCCTATAAGTGAGTGAGCACACACACATATTGTCCTTGGTTGCATAATGGTTGCATTTTTAGCTACTTTTCAGCTGTGTTTTTTTTTGTGTGGCTATTTTTGCTTTTTTCCTGGATAATGTCCACTTTGTTGTGCTCATTTCTACTTCTTAGGCTTATTGGGCAAACGTGACCTTTATGCTTTCTTCTGCTAATTTACACTTGTTCAACCTTTTCAGCTACATTGTTAGCACTTTTTAATTAATTTCAGCTGTTTTCAAGCATTTCATGGTAATTTCTGCTACTTTCAGCCCAATTAACTTTTTTTCTGCTCATTTCAGCTTGTGCTCCTTACAGCTTATTTCAGAGTCAGAGAGATTTATTAGTCATTTCGCACCACATGTGGTACATGTAGTGGAGCGATGTTATGTACACAGGGTCCCAGTTACATCCAACAATCAAATGTAAAAGATAAACAGTAACAGCAACATGAAACAGATCAACAGCAACATAATGTGATTTTTCACAGTGATTATCCTGGTTAGATACTCATGAGTCTAACAGCCTCAGGGTAGAAGCTGTTCCTCAGTATAGTGGTTCTACACTTAATGCTCCTTCCTGAGGGGAGCAGGGCAAAAAGTATGTGTGCTGGGTGAGTGGGGTCTTTCATGATGCAGATTGCCCCCTTCCTGCACACACACACACACACACACACACAGGTTTGTTTTGCTATCTTTGTGGGGCCTTTGCATTGACTTCCATTCATTTTTCATTCATTTCTATAGCCTAACCATGACCTTTATCCATAACCTAACCATTACCAGTACATACCTAACCCTAAACCTAACACATCCTCAATTCACACCTTAGTCCTAAACCTAGCCCCTAACCCACCAACGGGACTTCTTCTTATGGGGCCCGGGATTTGGGCCCCATAAGGAGCAGTTGGTCCCCACAATGTAGTATAAGTTGGAAAAATGGGCCTCACAAAGTAGCATAAACAAGGACACACACACACACACACACACACACACACACACACACACACACACATATCAATCAATCAATCAACTTTATTTATATAGCACATTTTAAAAACCACAAGAGTAGCCAAAGTGCTGCACAATAAAACAATAAAAACAAACAAAACAATGAAAACATACAAAGCATACACAAAGAAACATAAAAACCATTCACATACCAGTTTCACAGCAGGTGTATTAAAAAGCCATAAAAGATAAGATCACGTGTTAAAAGCCAAAGAATAAAAGTGTGTCGTTAAAAGAGATTTAAAAACAGGAAGAGAGGAGGCCTGTCTGACACTCAAGGGTAAATTGTTCCACAACCTGGGAGCAACAACAGCAAACGCTCTGTCACCTCTGAGCTTCAGCCTAGTTTTAGGGACTGTCAGCAGCAGCTGATCAGCTGATCGTAGGGATCGGGGTGGACAGTAAGGCTGAAGCAGCTCAGACAGATATGGTGGGGCAAGGTTGTTCAGACATTTAAAAACAAACAGCAAAAGCTTAAAATTAATTCTGTAGTGCACAGGGAGCCAATGAAGGGACGCCAGGATGGGAGTAATATGCTCGCGCCTACGAGCCTGAGTTAACAGGCGAGCAGCAGAGTTCTGCACAAGCTGCAAACGAGCAAGAGACGTCTGGCTAATGCCTGCATACAGCGCATTACAGTAGTCAAGACGAGCTGTGATAAAAGCATGGATTAATTTCTCCAAGTCAGGTCTTGCTAGGATTGGTTTCACTTTTACTATTTGGCGGAGTTGATAAAAACTTTTCTGAACGACACTGCTGATCTGTTTTTCAAATTTAAAATCAGACTCAAACTTCACCCCCTGATTGGTGACACAGTCCTTGAGATAAAATGACAGTGAGCCAAGATCTATGCTGGGAGAGGGACGGCAACTTGGTCCAAACATCATAACTTCAGTCTTGTTCTCATTTAGACTAAGGAAGTTAAGAGAGAACCATGTCTTAACATCATTAAGGCAGTGTGTAAGTTGTTGAACTGTGTTGTTTTGTGCCATGGGAAAATAGATCTGGCAATCATCAGCATAAAAGTGAAATAAAATGCCATGCTTCCTAAAAATCGAGCCAAGGGGGAGTAAGTAAAGGGCAAATAAAAGAGGGCCAAGGATTGAGCCCTGGGGGACACCATGTGGAAGAGGAGCAGTGGAAGACATAAAATTGTCGATTTTTACGCAGAAACTCCTATTGGTTAAATACAACCGAAACCAATTGAGGGCGACACCCCTGATGCCCACACAGTGCTCAAGACGAGAGATTAAAATGCTGTGATCAACAGTGTCAAATGCAGCAGACAAATCTAAGAGCACTAAAACAACAGACTTTCCGGAGTCTGTGGACAAGAATATATCATTTGAAACCCTCAAAAGTGCACTCTCTGTACTGTGGCGGGCTTTAAACCCAGACTGAAACGGCTCAGTGATACCATTGTCCTCTAAAAATGGTAACAACTGGTGGTAAACAACCTTCTCTAATAGTTTTGAAATAAATGGGAGATTAGAGATAGGCCTGAAATTGGAGCAGAGAGAGGGGTCAAGACCTGTTTTTTTGAGTAGAGGGCGTACAAATGCATGTTTTAAAGCCTCAGGTACTATACCAGAGGAAAGACTGCTATTGATAATCTGAAGTACACTTGGTTCAATAGTGGAAAATACCTCCTTAAATAAACGAGGTGGGATGGAATCTGCAGGAGAACCAGAGGGCCTCATATGATCAACTGTGTCCTGTAGAAAAGAGAAGGACACCGGCTCAAACTGATCAAAAACAGATGAGTGGTGTAGAGGAACAGAAGGATCATAGGAAGGCTGAGAAATACAAGCTCTGGTTGACACAATTTTATCAGTGAAGAAGTGGAGGAAACTTTCACAGATTTCAGTGGAGGCATCAAAACCAACAGACTTGGGAGCATGGAGAACAATATCTATGGTTTTGAACAAAACTCTGGGGTTGTTACAGTTAGAAGAAATTATGCCTGAGAGATATTTGTTCTTCTCGGCTATTACAGTTTTCTGATAATGTAACAGACTCTCTTTGAGAATATTAAAAGAAACATGTAGTCTGTCCTTTTTCCACCTGCGCTCCTCTTTTCTGCACTCGCGCCTGGCAGCGCACGTGACGTCACTCAGCCAGGGTTCGGGGGTAGGTTTGGTGCGCCGGTTCTTCAAAGGAGCGATCGTGTCCAGTGTTTGTAAACAGACAGAGTGGAAGCTGGAAACCAGTTCATCAATATTTAAACAAAGAGAGTCTTTAGAGTTATCCTCGCAGAGACCAAGAAAAGTGGAGGAGAACAAGGTTGGAGAGGAGGAGTTAAACATGCGACAGCGCTGAGGAGGAGCACGCACTTTAACTGGACAGTGAGTGGGAATGTCAAATAGGATGGGCATATGATCTGAAAAAACAGCATCACATATGTCCAAGTTGGAAACATCCAGACCATGAGACAGGACCAAGTCAAGTGTGTGCCCGAGTTCATGAGTAGGACCAGACACAGACTACACAAAGTTAAAAGAGTCAATAACATTTAAAAAGCTCCTGGAGATCGTCTCTTCTGGGCAGCAGACGCGAATATTAAAATCTCCAAGAATGAGAAAATAATCATATTTGGGCAGGATGTCAGCCAGAAATTCTGAAAAGTCATTTATAAAATCCTTATTGTGCTTGGGTGACCGATAGATGACGACACACAAGACAACATGAGCGCGGCCGATTTCAAATGAGCAGTGTTCAAAACTTGTAAAAGAAGACTGCAGGCTGATCTGCCGGCATTTAAAATCATTTTTAAAAACAACTGCTAT